CTTTCTGCCTGGCTCCTGGGTTTGTAGGGACACTGTCTGCTCTGTGGTACAGAGTCCTGATCACTCCTAGAGGCAGGACTCAAAAGCCTGTATTTTGCCTGAAACTCTCAGACTGAAGAAGTCTCTTGGAAGAGAGACGAAACTTTTCATTAGAGAAGAACCCATCCAGAGGACCTATACAATTTTTTTCCTCATGATATGACTGTTTCCTCCAGTAGTCCTAAATTCTCCCACTTTCCGTTGAATTTTACACAACCATCGAACTTTTCTTTCTTCCTCCCATTGTTATTGCCATTTCTGTCTCATTTTCATCTTTATAATGCTTTTTATTTCTGTTTTACTGAATTTTATTTCAATTCCAACTACTTTATTTTTGGTAGCCTTTTTTGCTTCTTTATCTGCCRTTTCATTTCCTTTTATTCCAATGTGTGCTGGTATCCAGATTACTATTAATCCCATCATTTTAATCCTGTACAGTGTTTGTTGTATTTCAAATAATATGTCTGATCTACTTTCTGAACTGTTATTTTTTATACTGATTAATGAAGAGCTGGAGTCTGAACAAATTATTTTCTTCTTCTTCTTGTATTGTTTTATGGCGGTTGACAAACAACTTAATGGTGCATTACCGCCACCAAGTGGAAAGGAGTGTGGACCGAATGTGTCTGAAAATAAAATAAAATAATTCAAATCCTATTGAAAAAATTACATTGTTTTAAATATAAAATTATGACATGATAACTTCTGCTTCTGGAATCTTTCTGGAGTAAGTCAATAATATCTAACTTTATTTTAAATTACTGAGATTTTGAATCAACTGTTTTCTTTCTTCCCTATACTTTCTACAATAAAAATATTCTGTTGTTCATCATCATCATCCCCACATTCCCATTTCCCTGTCTCATTAATAAAGTGCTGTTTAATCCAGTGTGCCCCAGTCTGAGTCGTGTTGTGGAGGAGTAGAAAAGACGATACAGAAACTTGATGCAGAACCTCGCTTTACTCAACTCCAACTCCTCTGAGTGGTTAACGCCAAAAACACTTATTCAAAAACATTTTTAAAGGGATCCCCAATTAGTTGTAACGTTAGACTTTATTTTATAAACATATATTTTAACTGTAAAATAAAGACTGTAAAAATACTGTAGGATGATTAGTTTTTATAATTTTTAAACAAAAAGTTTAAAAATATATTACACGGACGGGGCTATTTTATTTACATGCAAAGCGTTCTGGGTAAATGATGATGTCAACTAGGTCATGAGTGTGAGAAAATTTGTTTATCAGTACATTACAGAAAATAACTTTATCACACAATATGCTAACTTTTTTAGAAGGACCTGTATTTCGTGCTACTTGTTCATGAAATCTATTGGGAGCGAGCTCTGGAGGAACTCATGACCCGCATGGCTTAGAGAAAGTGAAGATCAAATCAGTGAGAGCTTAGATTTCTGACAGTCAAGCAGCAAGTATCAACAACATTCAAGTTTTTGATAAATCTTTAATAAAAAATAAAATAAGTAATAAAAATCTTAAAAAAAATAAAACCTTTAACAGGTTAGGGTTAGGGTTAGGGGTTAGACAGAATGGTCAAAAAACACAATTTTGAACCAAGTTTTAAGACAGAGATTGAAGATAGGTCAGCCTGGAGTAATTTCTCTATGGTGGACCTGTCTCCAAATGATTTCTACTGCTTTACAGACGGATCCCTTATAAAGGGGTCAGCAGGTGCAGGGGTGCTGATTCTGCACAACCATAGCAARAGAGAGTATAGTTACCCACTAGGCGGTTTTGTAAAGGTATCTCAAGCTGAGATACATGCAATCCATCAAATTGCGGCATCTCTCAAAGAACTTCAGTGTATGCNCATGCAATCCATCAAATTGCGGCATCTCTCAAAGAACTTCAGTGTATGCAGAAGGAAATATTCATCCTGACAGATAGCCAAGCTGCTATTAAAGCTCTCCAAGGGCCGCAGTTCACGTCACTACTGACTTGGGAGTGTGCCGAAGCAGTCAACCAACTGGGGAGAGATAACAGTGTTACTGTTGTAGCAGTAACCTGAAGAAAGTTGTACCTCAAGACTGTAGCCGACACATTCTTTGTCCCCATGTCTACTGAGAGAACAATGACTCATTCATTTACCTCCAAGCTTGTTTACTATCTACAGGTGGTAAGATAGCAACCAGATGTGACTACCTCCTGTTGATTGAGTACTGTGTAAGAACCCCTTTGATGTGCTCAAAATGGCCGCTTTTCACACAGAACTCAAGATCTTTGCAGACATGGTGTCTAGCAGGAGTGGGTCTGCTGCAGAAAAACCCTCTTTGAAGCCGGATTTCTTGCTGAGTTTTGTCACATACACCAGCTTCAAAGGAACCATTTACATACTATCTCATTTATGGTTTAGAGCGCTCCCAAAAGACTGGTTTTATAATTACACCACAAACAAATGTTTTTCTGTATTTCTCATTCTGATAAAAAAGGAGAAAAGAATTATTGTATTTTCTATGTGATTCAATCATTTGAAACAATGTACTGTTTTAATCACTTCACAAGCAATCTACCTCTGTGTGTTTAATCAATTTAGTGGCGAGAGACTGTGAAGAGGAAGGCAGGTCTTGTGACTATTCTCAGCCAATCATGAGTTTCAGAGTCAGGACAATAGAAACTAGTTTAGCAGCAAGCAGTCAGAGTTAGAGAAGATGAAGAAGAAGATGTGAGAAGAACATGAAGTGAAGTAGGAGGATT